AGCCCTGCTCCAGGAGGATCCCACATGTCGCGGAGCAGCTTAGCCTGTGCGCCACAGCTACTAAGCCTGAGCTCTAGAGCCCGCAAGCCAGAACTACTGAGCCCGCGTGCCAGAACTACTGAAGCCTGTGCGCCTAGAGCCCGTGCTCCGCAACAAGAGAAGCCACTGCAGTGAGAAGCCCACGCACCACAGCAGAGTAGCCCCCGCTCACTGCAACTAGAGAAAGCCCATGCACAGCAACGAAGATGCAACGCAGCCAAAAATAAATAAATTAATTAAAAAAAAGAAATTAAATGATGAGATGTAGAATTTTAGGAAATGGTTAACTATAATAATAATAAAACGGAAATTCTATAAGCAAAAAATAGAATGAATGAAATTGAGAATTCAACAGATGGGTTTAAAAGGAGTTTATACATAGCTGAAGTGAGGGTTAGTGAACTGGAAAATAGGACAGAATAACCAGATTGAAGCAGGGAGAGAAAAAAGAGTTATTGTGTGAAAGTTACACCTTAATTTTAAAAAAGAAAAGCTCAGGGCTTCCCTGGTGGCGCAGTGGTTGAGAGTCCACCTGCCGATGCAGGGGACACGGGTTTGTGCCCCGGTCCGGGAAGATCCCACATGCCGCGGAGTGGCTGGGCCCGTGAGCCATGGCCACTGAGCCTGTGAGTCCAGAGCCTGTGCTCCGCAACGGGAGAGGCCACAACAGTGAGAGGCCCGCGTACCGCAAAAAAAAAAAAAAAAAAAAAAAGCTCAGTGATCTAATAGGGAGAATCAAATAAATATGCAATGCCTGTAATACAAGGTAGAATTTTGAGAAAAAGGGTTATAAGGGAAGGACAGTAAAAACTGGGAAGAATCAGGAAAGAGCTCACACAGAAGTTTGCACTGAGATGACTTGAAAAGGTGGATAGACACCATCTGTTAGGTGGTGGTAGGAAAAACAGAAACGAAGTGGACGACAAGAAATAATAATATTTAGGAGGAGTACTAGGTATGTACAGGGCAGGTGTAGGGACTACACCTACACCGAAGGGTACAAGTTGAGGCCATCTCCCTCAGAGGACCTTGAGGAGAGCTCCCCTGGCACCCAGATAATCAGAATCGTCCCTAAGATTTTATGAAATCACTTCTGAATCACTTTCAATCAACATTTGTGTAATATTACTGAAGTCCTAGAACCTTTCTCCTCTGCAATAGGAACAAGAAACTCCTCAGCATTTTTCTGAAGGTAGTACGTTCAGAAAGAGGAAAAGCCTGAATCTCTAACACTCAGTTTGGCTTATACAGAAGTTCCCACAACTATACTGGTGAGGAGATAAAATTGTTGAAATGGAGTTTCTGGACTGTCTACAGACTTCATTCATGCATGTTTCCTCTGGTCTCTGTATGACTGATAATGGGAAGTGATTTATTGTCTGGTTTCCTAGGAACAGGTTGTCAGAAATGATGCTGGCTTCAGTCTTTATCCGTTTGTCAATATACCTCCCTGATACCTGATAATCTGGCTTCTTCCCAACCAAATACAATGGCTCTGAACTGGCTCGGAATGTAAGGTCTCAAAGCAACCACATTTCATTCTTGTGAAGCATCTTTCATTTAGTGCCTGCTAGGCTTTTTCCACTTCAGGGAATTTTTTGTGGCCTACATTGCATATTGTTCACAGATTTTCCATACTAGCAAGAAGGGAGGGTAGAACAGCCTCATGCACACAGGGTAACCGTGTTAGAGAGTCTTTTCCTTCCTTAAAGATCATATTCATAGTTCTCATCTCCACAAACTGATAGGCCTGAAAAGAATCTTCTGGCTGGAATCAACAATAGCCACAAAAAAACAATTTCACAGAATTCTGCTCATCTGTTTCTACTTTCTTCTATGTTATCCCTTTTCTGACTGCTATGCTCCGTCCACTGAGGCTCTGAGAATCTGCTCTTCTGTGAACATCCAGTTCATTGGCTGAACAAGGTCTAAATGTAGCAAGGCACAAGCTATAGTTTTCAGACCTGTATCCATCCAACTGCCAGGGTATTCACAAATACAACATCTCTGCCTTAGCACGGGCCACTCACTCACTCACACCCCAGACCCTCTTGAAGTCCTAGCCACTATGAAACTTGTAGTCCAATGAGATCTGAATAAGGTCTGCTTCACCCTAGCAGTAGGATGAATGATGATGCTAATCCCAACCTGTGGGTTTTTTTTGTTTGTTTGTTGTTTTTTTTTTGCGGTACGCGGGCCTCTCACTGTTGTGGCCTCTCCCGTTGCGGAGCACAGGCTCCGGACGCGCAGGCTCAGCAGCCATGGCTCACGGGCCCAGCCGCTCCGCGGCATGTGGGATCTTCCCAGACCGGGTCATGAACCTGTGTCCCCCGCATCGGCAGGCGGACTCTCAATCCCTGCGCCACCAGGGAAGCCCCAACCTGTGGTTTTGTTATCACATTCAAATAACAATCGTGAGGCAGGCCATCAAAATATATACCTAACGACAACCCAAATTATTTTGTGAAGTGGGGGAAGGCAGGGTTTATAAAGAATTGCAAGGAAGGGGAAAAGCCTCGCTAATTGAGTAGAGAAGGATGAGTTAAAAGGCTAGGATGGCTGCTACTGCCAAAGATGCTGCTACAGACCAAGGGCCACTGCTGGTCTCAGGGGTGGGTTTTCCTGCAGAGAAACCGTGAAGCTGACATTACATTACCCTTTTACTTTCCCCTTGTGATTGTTGTCTCCTGCTGTGTAACAAGTTACTGAAAACTTTATCTCTCCTGAACCAACTTTCTGTTATGAAGTCATAAAATCAAACTGCTTTTTAAAAAAGGAAAGAAAATACATAACCATTAAATCATTATAAAAATATATGCCATTAAAAGAAATTTTAAGGACAAAAAATAAATAGAAAAAAATCACTCCAAAACTCACCAAACATAACCACTGTATTCATTTTGGTCATTTTATTTTCAAGCTTTTAAATGTATGTTTTCTTTGACATATAGTTGTACTCTATATTCTCTTTATATTTTAACATCCTTAATATTCTACAATTAACTTTCACGTATTACAATGTCTTTTGAAAATATAATTTTAATAGTTGCAAATTCCATATTCAAACTTTCCTTTAGAGTTGGACATTAGGATGTTTACAATTTTTTGATACAATAAATAATGTTTGTACACAAATGTGTTCTTTATTTTTGAGATTAGTTTCTTAATATAGATTCCAAAGAAAAGAATTAGTAGGTTCAGGGCTTCCCTGGTGGCGCAGTGGTTGAGAGTCCGCCTGCCGATGCAGGGGACACGGGTTCGTGCCCTGGTCCGGGAGGATCCCACCGTGGAGCGGCTGGGCCCATGAGCCATGGCTGCTGGGCCTGAGTGTCCGGAGCCTGTGCTCCGCAACGGGAGAGGCCACAACAGTGAGAGGCCCGCGTACCGCAAAAAAAAAAAGAGAATCAGTACGTTCAAAGGCTATGAACACTTTCTATAGGAACTTTTTTTTTCTGGTAACACATGGTCATTGTAAAAGAGTAGAAACAATGTAGAGTCTCCACCTCCTACATATACCCTTACCTCTAACCCCCAGAGATAACCACTGTAAGCCACCTGGTATTCACCTGTTCAGACTTCCTAAAAATGCATAAAGAAGTATACACATACAACACTGAACTTTTTCAGTTAATAGGCAGACATTATTAACTACTACCAGACACTAGTTTATTAAGCACTGTGTCATACATTGTGCTAAGTACACATTTTTTGATAGACTTTATTATCTAGCTCTTCTTCAGTGAATTATCTGTTCATGTCCTTTGCATCTTTATCTGAGAAGCTGCTGTTCTTTTTACTGATGTCCACAAATTCTTTATAATAAGAGATTAACTTTTAGCCTAGTGGCTAAGAACATGGACTTTGGAGCCAAACAAATGTGGATTCAAATCCCAGCACAGCCCCTTATTAGCTGTCTACTTGAACAAGTTACTTCTGTCCTTCTAAGTCTCAGTTTCCTCATGCATAAAATGGGAAAAGAATAACCCCCTTCAAGAGCTGTTGAAAGAATAAGGTCCTTAAATTATAATTATAGTAATATAATAAATAATAATTATAGTAAAATAGTTAATAATAATTTAACCTTTAATTATGCTAAATATCTATAAGGGAATTAAGTATCTTAAATACACCCTAATAAATAATAGTGCAAAAACATCCCACATTTTCCTTTTTTTCTTATTAAATAAAAACAAAATTGAAAGGGGTATTGCATTATCCTCTCTGGTCTAAGCATGAAAACTCAAGGAGCAAATTAATTACTTTTAAAATCATGAACTCTTGCATCAAATTTCTTTGTAACAAATTATTCTCAGACCCATTGGTACCTTTCTTTAAACAATTTCACATTCTGTTTTAATAGGCTACTTGTTGTTTTATAAAAGCAATTCGTGGTAAGTATGTTATGTCTCTCTGGATACTACAGCAATCCTCAAAGGCACATTTACTTTTTTTTACTGCTTTTCCTACCTTCCTGAAATTTACAAATATATTAACTTTTATAATTGGAAAGAAAAGCCTCTAATTTAAAGAAAGATCTCACAAACCAATTGTAAAAAGACATTCTGGGGACTAAGAAAATCTGAATATGAACTGTATTAGACAATATCAAAGAATTACCATTAATTTTGCTAGGTGTGATAATGACATGGTAGTTATATAAGAAAAAGTCCTTTTTAAAAGATGCACAATGAAGTTTTTAAGGGTGAAATATTATGAGGGCTGTAATTTACTTGAAAGTATTTGAGGAAAAAAAATGAGGTAAAGATAAAATATTAGTAGCTATGTTAATCTAGATAATGGGTGTCTGGAGATACATTAAACAATTTTTTTTGTTTGTTTGAAACTTTTCATAATAAAAATTTTAAATGATCAATTAAAAAAGATGTCTCTTTTTCCTTTCCATTGATATTAGCTTAGATAGCTATATTCATGCTTCTGTCAAGATGGGTTGCAACTGAAGACATAAACCTTAAACTGCTTAAACACCTCTCCCAGGCTATACCTAAGCTTCACCCTTACAAGCTGGGGCACCAGTGATCAGCCAGAAGTCCACTTCTGTCATCAGGAGAATATTCTTAAAATCTGTTACAATGCCACATACACAACTACTTCAGTGCCTAAACACAAAAATACTGACACTGGAGTTTGCTGGTATGCAGAGGGCCCTTAACGAAACTTAAGATTAAGAACTTGCCCATAAAAGAGCAGGGCTTAAATCAGCTTCCACTGACAGACCTCTGCTACCTTGCTGCTTAAATCTTGGATCTTAAGACTTCAAAGAAATGAGAATGAAATACATGGTCCCATCCCAGGCTTGAATTATGGAAATGAGAAAATACGTCTTGGTAGTGCTGTTTCCCTATATCAACATCTTTACTCAAGGGGGCTCACTGGGCTTGTGGTAAGGTCATAGGTGCAAAGAGCTAGAATACATGAAACACAGGAAAGAAGATCTTTCTTTTAGAGAACTTGATAAGTATTCCTCCTGCTTCCAAGGAATGATATGAGAAGACAGAGATGACATGTATGGAAAGACCGAGGACAGATTTAACTGTCCATAACATCTCAGAATATTCTACGCTCCAAGCTTTTGGAAAAAGTTCTAGTTCTCAAACTACAGCATGCATCAGAATCACCTAGAGTACTTGTTAAAACACTGATTGGTGAGTCTCAGCCCTAGAGTTTGATCCTTAAGTCTGGGTGGGGTCCAATAATTTGTGTTTCTAACAGGATCCCAGGTGATGCTGATACTGGTTTGAGAACTACTGGCTCAGATATATGAATCAAATACCTTATGTCATCAAGTATACTCTACTCACAACTACTCCTGGGCGAGGAAGAGGTGGTGATAAAATATGTTTAGGCAGTTAATGTAAGGCTTTCTCTGGCTAGTAGCCACTTCACATCATTTGTCCTACCTGTCCCTTTAAACACATCTCACTAACTCCCAATATATACTGAACCTTTGAGAGCATGGGGGGAATTTTCCATATCTAACAGTCTATTACGGATACACATATATTAAAATGGCTCAATATTTAAATCTGAAAAGTGTTCAGAAATTCTCAGATGAAATGCATTAGATAAAGTACTAAGTATTAACATGCATGAAGAACGTTCTATTATAAACCACTGTTTTCATTTTCTTGCAGCTTTCCAAAAAATTAGCCCTTTGTGGTGAAATTTTCCATGCTTGGTTTCAGCCCAAAGGTGATTTTTTTTTTTTGCAAAGTTTGAGAAAAATATATTAAATAGTTTTTGAGTTATGAAAAATGAAAAAGCCCACACAATTTTTCCACTTTCAAAGCAATTTCAGGATCTTTCTTTAATATGCAGATAACTAAAAAATGGCTGAAGTTGAAAAGTTGAAACTTTCCATGTGTCTAGTTTTCAATAAGGTAGTCTGTGGGTAATTCAGAAAAGATAATGTGTTTGTGTGTACACATAAACAGATAACATATATATAAATAAATGCATAAGTGATTAGAAAAATAGCATTTCATCATATTCAGTACAAACTTTCCTCAGAACAGGGGATTTGTTGTTTTCTGAAATGAAGAGTCTTTCACAAACCAGAGTAGTTGTCAACTGCCTGACCCCTGTGGTTTTCACACACTGGGGTTCACTAATGGGTTATGCAGACACAACTGTAGACTATTGTACAGTGCGTTTGCAGCATCTTTCAGTTCCCTTCACATTCTAATCTTCCTTCTGCCCCAGCTCAATTCTAGGATTCTGATTCACTGTCTTCGGAGTTTAATTTCTGCCCTTGGTCCATACCTCACTACCAGCTCCCTTGATCTTCTATGCTCCAGACACTCAAGACATGTTCTCGTTTCTCCCAATTCTCTCTGACCTCCCCCGAAAGCATTCACTCATAACTGCTAAAACCCTCCTTGTGTATCCGAAGACCTCAGTTCTCAAAGAAATAACAGTAGAAACCTTAAGTTTAGGTTAAATAGGTTTTGATGGTTTGTCGAAGTAACTTGCTCTAATTATTTATAATCGTAACCTTCGTAACTAACTCACCTGAAGGCTGATGATGGAAAAGTTAGAGAACAGAATAGAGAGTCCTAGTTCTGCCATTTACTTAGCTAACTGACATATGGATAAGACACATAACTCCTTGGAACTTCGGTCTCATCTGTAAAATGGGAAAAAATTAGGTTGTTAAATAACCTTGTTACCTATGAACATGTTTTATAAATTTCAAATGCATGTATAACTGTTAGTAATGACAATAACCTCAATTTTTAACTGTTTCAGGTTTCTGGGCTCAAATGAAGAACCAAGTATAAGGCACCAAAACACCTTTGCAAGGATGTGAAGATTAAGAAAAATCCAATTTTCCTGGTTTTCAAGTGTGCAGGCTTAAAGTACAAAGAGAAGGAAATCTGCTCCGATAAACATTTCTATTTCTTTTTCATTTTCAGCATCTCTCTCTCTGCATGGGTTATTCCCCCCAGCGTATGCTAAATTCTCTCCCACTTACAGGGAAAAGATGTTCCCTTGACCAGCTTCTTCCTTAAGTTATCTTCTTGTCTTCTCCCCTTCACTGGCCAATTCCTGGATCACCTAACTTCCTGCAAGCTCCTTCTCCCATTATTTCACTAAAAATGTTCTCTTCCAGGCCATTAATGGCCTTCCGATCACCAATACCTGTTGGCAGACCTGGTTATGTGACTTGCTGTGTCCAATGCAGTATGAGGAATGACAAATGTCACTTCTTCCAGGCAGAGGTTTTAAAATGCTGCATGTAGTTCACTACTTCCTTTTTATTCTCTGCCACGAGACTGGAATATTCCAGATAGAAGCTATTCCATCAATCTGGATTCTGGAATAAGAGTGCATGGAGAGAACTACACAAGGGCAGCCTACCCTTAAAGGACTTGTATCATGAGCGATAAACAAATCTTTGTCGTTAAAAGCCACAGACACTGTGTTACCATGGCACCGTCTACCGCATCTTGACTAATCCACTAGTTGCAACCCACTGAAGTGAATTCAGGACCCACCAATAGAGTGCAGCCAACAGCATGGAAAATTATTATACCTTTTGCCTTTTTCTCTGCTTCCTCCTCTTCATCCTCCTTTCCACCAAATAAAGTCACTCCCCTAATAGACATCTATGACCTGTTTCTTTTCTCTCTTAACAATTTCCCTGGGCAAATCCCATATACTGTCTTCATTATTTCTCATTTGGACTAGCAAACTTGCCTATCACTTGGTTGTTCACGTTTTACTCTATACTCTCTCTCCATTTTATTTTCCTTTTTTTTTTTTTGCGGTACGCGGGCCTCTCACTGTTGTGGCCTCTCCTGTTGCGGAGCACAGGCTCTGGACGCGCAGGCTCAGCGGCCATGGCTCATGGGCCCAGCTGCTCCGTGGCATGTGGGATCTTCCCAGACCGGGGCACGAACCCGGCATCGGCAGGCGGACTCTCAACCACTGGGCCACCAGGGAAGCCCTTATTTTCCTTTTCAATGAGACATTAATTTACCCAATGAATGACTATTATTATCACAGATCCTTCAGTGGCTCCTTGCTGTCCAGAAAACAGAGTGCAAACTCTCTTGCCTTTCCACTCTATCAGCCTAGGTTCTGCTATCCCACTGCTCCCTTCACACACACTGTGCTGCATTGAAATCCGACCACCCACTGCTCTCTTCATGTGCCCAGTGGTAAAGCCCATTTCTCCTCTCTTCATACATTTCCTACTGCTTAGAAGGCATAGCAACCCCCACCCCCCCAAAAAACCCCATCAAATTCTGCTTATAAATACTTCTAAATACTGACTCATCCTTCCTCTGTTCAAATACCAGCTCTTTAATGATGCTTTTCTTGATCTTCCCAGTTAGAAGCCATCTCTCTTTTTAAAACACTCAGAGCCTCATGGTACCTCCTCATTTTGCCTTTGGCTTCTTATCAATTAATCTAGGGACAGGACTCTGACAACAGTTACTCTGACAAATGAATTATCTCCGATTCTTCCCTCACCTCCAGATTACCTTGATTGTTGAACACAACTTAGTGACGTCATATAAATGTTTCTCACAAGCATGTCTAACTTTGCAGATACGCAGGTTCATCAGAATAGTGTAAGTACACCACAGGCTCAATGATCTCATTACTTCCAGAATATTTGAATCTATTTTTTTCCTAATTTAGATGAGATGTACTCCTGACTCAACACATACATGATCTAACGTACTATTTTGACTCTTTTGGTAAAGTTTTTCAAGCTTCTCAGCTGTACTTATGGTGTGTTTTGAGTCTCTAAAATTCTGAGTATGTACAACACCACTGGGGATCCCAAAAGAAACAAAAGAAAATTTTTTTTTTATTGCTCTGAACAATAACAAAATCCATTTACTAAATTTTGTAATTTTACTCTCATATCTTCATTTAAGACGTGTTCATTCTTACTTGAGACAAAATTCTAACACGGTTATCTGTTTTCTCTATCTGCAGCAAATTAGTAGCAACAAGGTGTAAGTAGGGAAGAGAAATGTCACCTAACACTAGGAGAGGAGATGGAAAAACTATAAAATAAACAGACATGAGAATTCCTTTTAACGAAGCACTATCACCTAAGAAATTTCAGGACATAGGCAAAATCCCTTTAATTGTATTTTACCATAGTATAGTAACAGTATCAAAATGATGTCCTTGAATCATTAGGGAAAAATTCTTCCATAATCAACCTACATTGTCGAAGAAGGCAGATAAGTAAAAAATATATTTTAGACAAATTTTTACCCAACTAGATAAAATAGTCTGGGGCTTAAAGGAGTCAGTTTAAGTAATCTGGAAATTTCATTTAGGGAGAAGATATTTTTGCCAACCAGACAGACAAAGGAAGGTCTATGTTATTGTGCATCTTCCCGAAGGAAGTCCAAATAATATAAAAAATTAAGTTTTGAAGGATCTGATACCCCTGGAAGGGGAGGAAGTATTATCATTAAATGCCATATAAATTCTTAGAGGAAAATAATAGTTAAGTTACTTGAATTTCACTTCATGACTTAGTGCAGTGCTCAGTTAGGAACTGAGGGCTTTCACAACTACTGAAGCCCGTGCTCCGCAATGGAAGAAGCCACCGTGGTGAGAAGCCCGTGCACCACAATGAAGAGTGGCCCCCACTCGCTACAACTAGAGACGGTCCGCACGCAGCAACGAAGACCCAATGCAGCCTAAAGTAAATAAATTTATTTAAAAAAAAAAAAGAATTGAGGGTTTCAACGCCCAACCTTGAACTTTATGCAATTTATTGGCAAAATCAGATGGCACATTTTAAACATATAGAGGATTGATGTTGAAGGAAAGAAGATTCTAGATAGTGGGGGTAAGATGATTACTTTTTTATTCCCATGTCACCCCATCTGCCCCCAACTACTAGAACAGTATTCATGGAGTCTCCTACTCCCTGAGCTGCAATGTAATGAGTCATGTGGAGCTAGCTGTGAACACTCCAGGAACACGCCATACTATCTAGAGTCTCTGCCATCATCCAAAGGTTGACAAGACCATCAGATATCTTTGTAGACTGTCCTTATATCCACAGCTAACATAACCATACCCCACCCCTAGATTAAGACAGAGCCTTGGCTGGATCCTGGCAAGGCACTTTTCTCTCAGTTTCTACCTATAAAATTAAAGATGGGACTAGACTGTCTCTAAAAATCCTATGAATCTGAAATTGTGTGTATTATTTTAAGTCATGACAGTACTATTTAACAATCTTCCGATTATCTATTTTCTTAAGTTTCTTTTTTAAGTTCTTTATTCTGGACACTACTGTCAAAATATATGAAGACTTTCTATAATTCTATGTACCAAATTTGCTTAAAGAAACAAACAAAATTTTTAATACCAGATTTTTAAGAGTCAATTATTTTCTTCAGAATATGAAAAAATAGGTCAGACATTATGTCTAAAATACGCAGTAAGTCTCTTAAAATAATTTTAAGACCAAAGTTTCCTATAATTAGTTACAAAAATATTATAAAGAATTAAACCAAAATAAAACCAAATAAACCAGCTACTAAACTACACATATGTCCTTAAAATCTTATAGGAGTCAAATATTCCAGTAAAAATAACAGAGAGATGGAAACACAAGTTTCTTATTATCACACTTCATATGTTGTAAAACATAACAGCTAACTTATTTTTGGCAAAATGATTAGGGATTGCAACACTCTGGCTAATACAAACTTATTTGATTGTCAAATGCATCTTAAATGGAGTATGTCATGCTAACTTCAGGCATGCAGGCACTGTGCCATCTTAGAGTAGCCCAGAGACACTGAAATTTCAACACTTCAGCAGGGGTCACACCACCAATATTAACTGGGCCAGGTGTTTAAGCCGGGCGGCGGGGGGGCGGGCGGCGTGGACTTCAATAATGTAGTTAACTGAAACCAGATAAAGCTTTTGAATAATAAAAAAATCATACAGATGTTCACCCTCCTCCCCGGGTAACCTTTGTGGACAATTTATTATATGCGTTATTTTCTAGAGTACACCCTTTTTAAGAAAACACACTTTCTCATGTCTCTCTGAAAACTCTATAATCACAGTATGACTTATGTCTTCACAATTAGACTAGGTTAAGCTCATGTTTCATCTGCCTTTTTCCTTTTCACCACTATTCCTGCCTTAATTAGAAAGTTATAGAGCTGAGGAAGCTATAAGAAGCTACATTAACCTTAAGATGCATTCTTTCCCAACAGACGCTGTGAACGCGAGCCAAAAAAGAGAGATGGGTTCAAAACAAATGTGTTGAACAACTGTTTTCAAGTATGCATAAGAGAAATTACACATTACATGCAGAATGGATGTGGAGCAAACAAACAAAAACCAAAAGGAAAGATCTCTGATTAAGTTAACAAACTGAAAGACTCAAATGGTTACTTTCTTCCCTATGTTTAGAGTAGTGTATTTGTCAGGGTTCTCAAGAGAAACAGACTATATATACGGATATAGATAAAAGGACACTTACTATAGTAATTGGCTCACAAAATTATAGAGGCCAAGAAGTCCCACACAACATGCCATCTGCAAGATGGGAACCAGGAAAGCCAGTTGTATAATTCAGTCCGAGTTCGAAGGCCTGAGAACCAGGGGAACAGATGATGCCGAAGGCTTGAGAACCTGGAACTCCACTGTCAGAGGGCATGAAAAGATGGCTGACTCAGCTCAAGAAGAGAGAAAGAATTTGCCCTTCCTGGGACTTTTTGTTCTATTTGGACCGTCAACAGATTGGATGATGCCCGCCCACAATGGTGAGGGCAGATCTTTTTTACTCAGTCCAATTCAAACGCTAATTTCCTCCAGAAAAGTACTCACAGACACACTTAGAAATGTTTTACCAGCTATCTGAGTATCCCTTAGCCCAATCAACTTGACATGTAAAATTAACCATCACAAATAATAATGTTATTATTATTTCAAACGTGCAAGTACTCTTTTTAAAACACCTGGAACAACTAATAGACAAAAATTATATGTCATATCAGTTTGCAACATTTTATTTGACAGGACCAAGTTACTTCCTACACCAGGAAATAAATTCAGTATTTTAACTTATATATTGATATATACCTATATATCTACATGCTTGATGGTACATCACACAAGTGAAGTCCTAACTGTAGTAGTGGTGGGGTAGGCAGCCTCTGACATGGCCCTCAGTGATCCTCACCTTCTAATATTCATGCTCTAGTCTAATCCCCTCCCCTTTAGTTTGGGCTGGAGCCAGTGATTTGTTTCTAACAAAGAGAATACTGTAAAAGTAATGAGATATCATTTCTGTAATTGGGTTACAGTCTGTGACTTCCATCTTGCCAGCAGACTCTTTCCCTGGCTCTCCTCCCAGACTTGCTCTCATGGGGTGAGTTAGAAAGGCCCACATTCTAAGGAACTGAGGGTGGCCTCCACCCAACTGCCAGTGATGAACCAAGGCCCTCCTCCGTCCAACAACCCTTGAGGGAGTGAATTGAGGCAGATCCTCCTCAATTCAGATCTTCACATGAGACCACAGCCCTGAAAGACACTTTGATTACGGTCTTGTGAGATACCCTGAACCACAGAACCTAGCTAAGTTGTGACCAGTCCCAGGTCCACAGAAACTGTGAGAGAATAAATGTGTATTGTTTTATGCTGTTAAGTTTTTTCCTTTCTTTTTTTTTTTTATTTTTTTAACATCTTTATTGGGGTATAATTGCTTTACAATGGTGTGTTAGTTTCTGCTTTATAACAAAGTGAATCAGTCATACATAAACATATGTTCCCATATGTCTTCCCTCTTGCGTCTGCTGTTAAGTTTTGAGGTAACTTGTTACACAGCTGTAGATTACTAACACAGTAGTTAACCTAATTACTGAGTCATTTCCATTATAATAATAATAGCTAATACTTATATGGAACTTTTAAGTTCTAGGCACCATTCTTAATTCTTTATATAATTCCTCACAAAAATCCTCTGAAGAACATATTACTATCCCCCTTTTACAGATGAGGAAACAAAGGTACAGAGACTCAATAACTTGCCCAAGGTCACCAAGACAAAGTATGACAGCAAGTATCTGAACGTAGGTGTCTTGTTTCTAGAGTGAGGACTTGTGGCAACTGTGCAAAGAGAACCGCTAAGGGCTAAGACTGGACACTATGAAAACAGTAACCTCATAACGTGGTACCAGAGGAGCTTTAGAGGCACAACAGAGATTAGAAGCCATGCAAAATGCTAAAAACAAAAAAAAATGCTAAAAGGAAAGCCCGTTTTCTTATTAAGATGCCTTATCTAGGGGGAAAAAACCAGAGAAGAAGCAATAATATAGTGAATGGAATGCAATCTAGAATTTATTGAATTCACACTTAGAAATGAAAAATATACTTTCTGATACCCAATGTAAGAAATTAACAGCCTCCATTTGGTATTAAAAAGCACACCCAAGGACGTTATAGTTGTACTTTTCCCAAAGGCAATTAATTATAAGTAAGAAGTAAGTGTGTCAAGCTGGAGGGGAAAGAAGCAAATTCCTTGTGAGCTCCAAGACTCCACTGAAGATATTTTACCACATGGAGTGAGAAAAGTCAATATCCCAGGATAGGGAGATTCCAGGAAGGAATCACTTCCTATCTTGTATTCAGATTACCAGGTTAAACAGCACTCCTTCATGATCTCACACACCCTCTATTTACATAAGAAGTAGGTATCACACCTATGGGTTAGTCTGTGTCCTCCCTTAGACTTCAGGCTCTCTTACCTCAAAGACTATTTTATTCACTGGGATATCTTCAAAACACAGCACAAGGCCTGATACATGGCAAGTGCTTAATATAAGTTTGTTGAATGAAGAAATAATTTATGCTGTGAATCACATTCATTTAATGGGTCATTTCAATGGTATATGTCAGTGAAAGTATGAGGTTTTGTTTTGTTTTGAAGTGTTGTATAGTTCACTAGCTTTCCTGGCACTTTAAATAGGTCTTTTTTTTTTTGCGGTACGCGGGCCTCTCACTGCTGTGGCCTCTCCCATTGCAGAGCACAGGCTCCAGAAGCGCAGGCTCAGCGGCCATGGCTCACGGGCCCAGCCGCTCCATGGTATGTGGGATCTTCCCGGACCGGAGCACGAACCCGTGTCTCCTGCATCGGCAGGCGGACTCAACCACTGCACCACCAGGGAAGCCCCTTAAATAGGTCTTTATATCTCCAGTGTCTCACTTAATATCTGGCACATAGTGGCACCCAGTAAGTATTTGTGAATGAATGAATGAATGAATGAATAAATGAGTGTCTCAAAAAGGCTGCCAAGCTATAGAACAGATAAGGATTCAGACTTATGACTAAATAAAGATTTAATGTTCCTTAAGAATAACTGTTTGCCTATCAACAATGGTGATAATAATAATTTTTCTTCCTTTTGAGAGGAGGCATGAATATTTGCATAATACTCTCCCTAGACAAGATTATTGCCTCAGCCCTAGTTGGTGACTGCTTTTAAATATTCCTTTACAGGGACTTCTCTGCTGGCCCAGTGGTTGAGAATCTATCTTGCAATGCAGGGGACGCTGGTTTGATCCCTAATCAGGGAGCTAAGAGCCCACATGCTGCGGAGCAAATAAGCCCACGTGCCACAACTAGAGAGAAGCCTGCACACCACAACAAAGAGCCTGCGTGCTGCAACTAAGACCCAATACAGCCAAAAAATAAATAAATAAATATAAAAAAAGAAATATTCCTTTACCAAAGACAGCAAGTTGTATGTAATTTAAGAACTCCAGATAACCCTAGATTAAAAAGCATTTGTTCAAATAAAATACTGTAAATTAACTATACTTCAATTTAAAAAGAAGAGGCATTTATTCAGAAAATTCCCACCTCCTTCAGCGTTCTTTTTTTGAAACATTATGGGAAATGTATGAACATACACTCACACAGGCCCACAGTAATATAGAGATAAGGATAAAGGCAGCTAACAAGTATCCCTCTCTGTGTTTTATTTATCAATTCAATACGAGACAAAAAAGCAAAGGAAATCTGAGAGGATTTGTGCGAGTGCACAATCGAGCACCGACAGTCCCCTCCTGAGGCGTACTTACTGGGAGCTCAGGGGCATGCTTCAGAACCTGAAGGGAGAAATAGCAGCCTATGGAATGGCCAATGACCACAAGTTTCATTTCCTTTGGCACATGAGTTCTCAGGAAAGCTAGCTTGTGTTCTACTTGACCACGGAGTCCATAGATGTCCTTAATTTCTTGAGCATTTGGATCTAAAATAAAAAATATAAGTTATGTTTTCATTCAATAAGTGAAAGCAATCACTTCACTGGGGAAAATATCTAAAAAAAAACAAACCAATAATAATAGCAGTTGCTATCATTTATTGAAAGCCTACCATGTGCAAGCCACAGTGTTGGCACTTTATTTAAATTATATCTTCACAACAACCCTGGAAAGGAAGTATTCCTATCTTCATTTTATAGATGAAAATCCCAAAGCTCACGGACGTTAGGTGATAGATTGGCAGTTACATACCTGTTAAGTGTGACAGGTGAGATTCAAACCCAGGTGTCTGTCCTCAAAGCCCATGAACTCTCAACTATTCCATCAACTACTACAGTTTAGGCCACTGGTTCTCAAACTTGAGTATGCATCAGAATTCTCTGTAAGGCTTGGTGAAACACTCATTGCTAGGCCTCACCATCAGAGTCTCTGATCCAGTGGGTCTGGGCTGGAGCCCGAAAATTTACACTTCTAAGCCTCCAGAAGATGCTGATATTGCTGGTCCCAGGACCACACATTGAGAACCACTGGTTAGGCTAGGTTACATGATTAATATATAACCAAGAAAATCCATGACACTGCTTCATTATTTTAGATAATCTTTGTTTAAAAAAGTCAAGACTGAAAGGCATAAGTAGAAATGTTTTAAACTGTTCCTTTTAACCAGCACAGTCCTGACCTGAAATATCCTTTCTTCCTTTCACAAATGAACGTCTTTAAGATTCTTCAAGACCTACTCAAAACTTTATCTAGCTAATCTTCAAGAAAAATGAATGAGCCTTCCTTTGTGTTTAACTAGTATTCACTTCTTATTATAGCACTTTATCATATTTGTATAACTGTCTGTTTCCTCCCTGAGACTGCGAGCTCCTTGAAGGCAAGGTCCATCTTTCATTTCTGTGTCCTCTGTGACTAGCACCCAGTAAATATTATTGTTGAATGAAAATATGAAATGACTAGACAATCTGAGGATGCTGCCAGCTCCAATATTCTATGAGCAGAGAAAACTTCAATAGGCTTTCCCTATGAACATATATATAACCCCAATGACAGGGTGTAATATTTCAAGATATCACAAGGTAGTCAATTGCCTTCAAGGTACTGACGCAAACTATAACAAAGGTACCCAAAACTCATTAGGAAGAACTGCTCTTCAGTTTTATCTGTACATGCTGGTTTTTCTTCCTTCAGTGCTCAGCTCCCCCTTGTTAATCTGGCTAACTCCTCTTTATCCTTCAAACTCTCAACAAGTGTTACCTCCTCTGAGAAGCCTTTTTATGATTCAGTAGATGAGGAGTAAAGTGGCCTTCCTTTCAGTTTCCACCACATCCCATATTTATCTCACCACACTACTCCTAATTTACTTCTGTACTTCCTGTCTTGCCTATCTCTTTCTCCAATGCCTGGCATACAGTTATTGAAGTGCTTTTTATTGAATTAATGAGGCTTAGTTCCCCATTTCACTGGTACTACTGAAACAAGAGATTTCCCAGGTGAGACATGTTCTGCTTTAACCCTTCTTCCCAGGTCAGCCTAGAATTCATTCTCTATTTCATAAGGAAGTTCCCCATAAAACAGAATTGGGAAGAGACAGAATCTGGAAATTTGATGTTCGTAGGGCCTCCGATGGCTCCAAATCCAAGCTTTTATTTATTTAATATTCTATTTAAGTTTGAGTTGTTCATATTCCACTACTGTCATATATCTTGTCTGATCACTCTACCCAGGAGTGATCGTATTGTTCTGATACCCCAAATACCTATAATATTTGCAACCCAAGTTCTTTATTTTTCAAAATATACAGCTTTTGAAAATGTTGAAGTCTTCCTTTCATTGGGACAGTATGGTGTAGTACAAAGATCAAGGGCGTTGGAGACAAGATAAACCTGGTTCTAACTCCCAGCTAAGCACCTTACTATGTGACTCCGTGCAAATACTTTAACCTCTGGCTTCAGTCTCCTCACATATAAAACAGAGATAGTAATTCTAGCCTCCGAGGAATGTTGCTTGCGTAACACTTTAAAGCACATAGGAAGTGTCTGGCATAAACTATTTGAGAAATGAAACTTATGACTGCTATCATTTCAATTCCTGTCATTTAAGGCCTCCCTCAAATACACATTTATATGGTTAGAGCAAAGAGAAAGAAAATGAGCTAAATACAATAAACATTTAGAAACTTCATTGATTCTAGAAATAAGGCCCTAAAACATATTTCAGATGAACTTTAATGACCATTATAATTCAAATCATTATCGAAGTGAATATTTCAGAAGTAAGTCTGGCTTTACCTCTGGGAATTGCTCAGTAGATTTCCAAGATAAACACACTTCTTAGTGTTTTCTGAAGTAATGAGATTAATGGGGAAAGTACTTTCTATAAATAAATAATCTATGATAGAAAATTTCAATGTGCACTCTGGATATTATTTTACTAGCAAAAACTAAAAGCTAAAAGAATATCTATATACTGGACTGTATACTCTATACTTTCTCTCCTATTATGATTTTAATATACTCTGAAAAAAATTCTAGGAATCATTTATTTACTCTCCATAAAAATATTGTAAAAAATTCACATTCAATTGTATCAAAATCAGAGTGATAATATGGAAATGATTTATACCGTTCTTTTTATAGGGAAAATGTACTCCAAGTTACGATCAACTAAGTATATTTGGAAAGTAAACTGTTTCTAAACTGAAAACTGCCTGAATTGATAGATGGCAATCCAATTCACCAATTCTTTACCAATATATGGTCCTGAATATAGTACTGACAATTGCCTTTTAGAACCCGAGCCTGTTTCTTAGACCCATCTCAATGGAATTCACTTCATAGATCATTTACTGATTCTGGAGTTTATTTCAAAAGGTATGTATAATCTGTTCCTAAGTAGTTCTTTGGGGAATTAAGTAATATCAGTACTTCGCATTTACTTTTCATCTAGTTGTTCAAACTGATTGATCCAGTTATTAAAATTCTGTCAATTCTGGATCAAAATATCATGCATCCCTTATAGCTTCAGGAGACAGGTAAATCTGATAACTATTATTTTCTTCCATTTCTCATGAAGTAAATTGACCACTCTGACAGAAAACAGTGACTAATTGGCCCATGATAATATTGAAAACTCAGATATAAATACAATATACTCCCTTGTCTTCAAGGAGCTCACAGTCTAATAAGAGGAAACAGAAGTAGATAAAAACATTATTATAAAACACTGAAGTAAGTATAGCTCAAGCATCTCCTTGAGAAAATAAGAGGGTTTTATTGGGTCAAAATAGAAAGGTAATGCCCCTTTGAATTCATAAAAAGTACTATGCCTTTCTCCAAATAAACCAAGAGAGATACCTGGAAAATACTATTTACTACATGCACATTACTATAACTGTGTAATCTTAACTACACATTTGAATACTATCACAATGGTCTAAATTTAACAACACATCCACATATATGTTTATCTAGATACACACTGAATATAAATGCATAAGTTTTACTATATATTGTCACACAAACAATATTTACAAGTCACCAACGACCACAGAGCTAACAAGACCAAAGATTAGTGCTACATGAGCCTCCTGCTAGGACTGAGTCTGCACACAGAAACTCTCTAAATCTTACACCAGAATTTTCTCAACTAGTGAAGTCTTCCATCCTGCTCCCATCATTACTCCAAAGCTATACCTTAATAATAACTTTAATTAAACAACTTACAAGTGGAGATTAAAAGGCTAAAAATAGCACTTCATATTTTAAAGAATGCTTTGAGCAAGATGAATATACAGTTTACTCTTTAGGTCAAGCTTTGAAAAACACACAAAACAATATCATGTATTGTTTAGCATTACATATACATAACTAAAAAAGAGAAATTAAATTTACTCTAAATTCATGATACTAGAACATAAAGGCATAAAAGTGTGAGGTGTAATTTTGGACACTGCGATGAGTACTGTGCCTGTTTGTGGTTATAAGAGAGATGGAACAAATAAGGTTAGAAAGGAAGGTTGAGACTAGATCAAGTAGGACCCTGAACATCACTAAGGGATCTGGACTCCACTGTGTGAGCAGTGAGAAGATGCCCAAGGATCTCAAAGGGAGGGACAACGATCCGGTCTGTGTTATAGGACATCAGCTACAATGCTTTTCTCCCTCCTCTGGTCTGCTTCTTATTTCTGTCTTCCCTGAGAATCTAACAGTTTGCTCGATTCTTAACTCTTCTTCTTGCTCTACCCTTTGGTTTTCTGCTTCTTCCCACCTACTGAGAGACTTACTTGTTTATTTCTAGTGACTGAGAGCCCTGAGACTTGACTAACTGTCCCTGCCTCAGGAGAATCTTGTCGTTCCCTGTAGCCTCCATGTTCTTCTGCCAGAGTCCTGGAAAGAGAAAGCCCTACTGTTTTTTCTCTTTCTTTCAGTTTTGGGTACTAGAGTGGGAGTGGTTTAATGATTCTTGGGATAAACATGACGCAAATTCATCATTAGCTGAAAGACTACGTAACTTTTTTAGGTAATGTTTTACCAGTTGAAACTAAACCACTATGATTTCTAGCTTTTCTGTTACACGTTTGGAACAAATGACAAAATAGTTGATAATGAATCTGCCATCAAGTAAGCTGACTCCATAGTAAATCAAAGCCAGAAAGAGTTTATACTTCTAATTCCTCAAATTTTCTTTTCACACTTTTTTTTTCCTGAGTCACCTCCTTCTGACACTGGTGAACATCTGTTCTCCCAATTATACCCAATTTATGATTGTGATAATGTGGTGCAACTAGAATATTATTTCCAACTGTTCATGATTTTAACATGTGCTAATATGAAGCAAAACGTACTTTCAACATTTGATGTGTGGTTATAGCTTATGTCTTTTCTCTCAATGATTACGTATTTTTCACACCATATTTTGCATGTCAGAAAACCTGTACTTTAGAACAATAATCTTGGATGATGAATAATATATCTGTCCTGCCTAT